TACTAAATCCCTATGAGCAGGAGTCCCAAAAATGTAAAAGGAATGTTAAAGGGTTTTAGGGACTAAACTGTAAATAGAGAAAATTCTAAGGATTAAAATGTAAAGAAAGTTAGAGGCTTCAGTGAAGTCTTAAGGCCCAGAAATCGGAAAAGAGGTTAGTTTAGACCAAAGGTTATGATAGAGGCCATGATAGGGTGATTCATGAGGTTTACTTGACCAGGGGCAAAACCGTAATTTTTGAAAAGTTTCGGACAAGGAATGGGTAAAAACGGAAGTAATACCCAAAAATTCTAGAAAATTTTAGAAAAAAAATGACATTTTAAGGCCTGTATATGAGGAGAAATGATGAAAATACCCTTGAATTGACTTACAAAGGAATTTATAAGTTTATGGCTCAGTTTGAGATGTAAAGGTAGATTTAATTGTTTGAGTCATGAGGAAACCTCAGAAAATTATGATAAAATGGGGATGTATGATCTAAGAGGCTATAAAATTTATAAAATTAGTCTTAATCCTAGAAGGCTAGCAGAATGGCTTTAACATTTTTTAAGGCCAAAACTGCAGTTTATGGGTTTGTTATGGGAAATTTAAAAAGAAATACTTATGGTCTGAGTTATGATCTGAGAAAATTCATAGATTTTCTACAGAATTAAATGAATTTTATGGTATAAATAGATGAATTTTTGGAGTTCAGGATGGGATAAAATGCTCCAGTCAAATGTTAAATAATTAATGTCCCTTAATTAGGAGACAAAGTTAGAAAATATCTCAGATATTTTGAGGAAGACAAGTTCAACTTGAATTCTCTTCTTCTTTCCCATGTACTTCATTTATGAGGGTGATGAGTCATCGTATGAGTCACCAGAAGATATTTTATGGGTAGTAGAAAAATTAGAATGCAATACTGGTAAGTGTTAGACAATTCCCTATCTACCCGGTAGAGCAAAATTTCTACTATGTGACTCAATAAGGTTGACTAATTGATCAATAGTATTGACTATTTTTTTTCCCTCTGCTCCTCTAAGATAGCGCCATATATGTGCCTTTCATTGGCCAATATCAATTATTAAAAATACCTAGAGATCTCAGAAAATTATGAAAAATTAAAAAAAATTCATTTAGGAATTATGGAGATTTATAAAATTATTTCCAACCCTAAATGATGAGGAGGTTAGCTTTAATTGAATTTAAAGCTAAAGTAATATCAGTAGATCATCTGTTTTTACGGAAACAGCAATTTAAAGAGTTATATGGGGAGAAAAATTATGAAATTAATCAAGGAAGTTCCTTTTACTAAGATATAATTAATGGTGATTTGATATAAGAATTATGAGATACTAGAATTTTTTGGCTATCAGATAAAATAAACCAATATTATATTATGATTCAATAGACTGTCAAGACAACCGGGGTGGTAAAATTTCTGACAAAATGTCAAGGACACATGTCACGCCCAAATTGGCCAAGAAAGGGAAAAAGAAACTAAAAGGAAAAAGGAAAAGAAAATACTAAATCAAGTTAGATTAAAATTTAATTAGGGATAAGTAAAATGATTATGGTTAAGTCATCTTCCGTAGGATCATGACACGTGGCAAACATGGTTCATTGGATGGCTAGGATTTAACCATCTATCTTTGAAAAGTCAAAAGTTTCTAGAAGGGTAATTAGCCAAGTTAATCAAGGAATTAAGAGAGTTAACCTTGGTTAAAGCCTAATTAATCTTAATGGATAAGAAAGATGACATAAGCCCTAATGACTCACCATCCAAGTGTCAACATATTAAGCCACATAGCCTAAGATTTGTACATGTGGAAAGAGGTAAAAATTGGAGGGCTAAGATTAAGTCTTATGCAAGAAGGGCAAATGTGGAATTAATAAAAAAGGAAGCCTATAAATACCGCTCCCACATGTTCATTTTGTGTGAAGCCTTTCAAGTAGGAAACCTCTTGCAAATTTTCATTTAGAGAGAGAAAGAGAAGGTTTCTAGTGAGAGAAATTCATTTGGAAGCAAGGTAAGCTTCTACAACTCTCCTATTTCAAGTATAATAATGATATGTGGGTTTTGTGCTATTTTAATGATGATGGAAAGTCATTTTCCTAAGGGGAAGTGCTGTCCAAATTTTATCAAAATAATAGGGAATGGTTTAGATGAAGTATGGTTAAGATTAAGCATGGTTAAAGGTTAAGGATTAAGTGATTACATATTAGTTTTGTTGAGAACCTTTTCCCTATAATTATATATATGGTTCGGCCAAATTGAGAAATGTAGGAGAGAATATGTTTCAATTCAATTTGATGCTTCCAATGAGTTTAAATGATGATTTAGTGTAGGTATATACCAAGAAAGGTATGTTGGAAGCATTAAAAATTGAAATGAAAATTCTGAACCTATTTATCCCTATGGTTCGGCCAAGTCAAGTTCAATGGGAAGGGATTGGATTTTCATAAAACTAATATGATAAATGGATTCTACATAGAAAATTATGTAGGAAAGGCCCAAGGAAGTTCAAGAATCAAAGCTAGAAAAAAAAAAACCCTAAAAGTCGAGAAAAAAGGGTTTTAAGGGTTATGTTAAATTATGGAGTTGAAGTAATGCTTAATGTTGTGTCATTGGTTGCCTAATAGGCTATACACAACAAAGGGGCAAAGATCTAGTCAAGAGAAAAGAGTTCAAAAGGAAGGAAAGCCAACAAGGTAGCTTTTGCATTCCATTGCTTGTTAGAGTTACTATACATTGTATGTTCATTGTTATGTGTTATGACTTTATGCCATGATACTCCATGCATGTATACCTTGGTTTATGCAAGGTTGAGATGATATGTTATGTTATGATGTTATGTTTTTCCATGGCAAGTACATAATACTCAAGTATGTATGTATGTATGCATGTAGATTGAATTACATTGTGATGTGTAACCATAGTAATGTATGCAATGTGCTACTAAGATTCCCTAAGAATCTTACCCCCATACTTAACAAAACCTAGGGCCTTCAACCTCTAAGAGCAAAGGAAAAGAAGTAGCTATAGTGGAGAGTTAAGTTTGCCTCAAGAAGAAGGAGAAAAAGAAGAATGAAGAAAAACCTTATGTTGGATGAATGTAATTAAGAGTATGCTTTAAGGTTTTAATTTATGGATATATGCTAGCTTATGTGTTAATATGTGAAAGCATGCTAGTGTTGTCTAATATGCATGATTATATGGTAGGAGAATTAGTATGCAAGTAATTGGTCAAGTAAGACAATTTATCCTTCCAAGGGAGGATAAAAGTCAACATTATGGACCTAAACTTTGACCAAAGTTAAATTAAGCAATCGAGTGAGTATAGCCATGAGATTCAGTAAGCAAATAGATGGGATTTTTCTCTTTAAGATGAGAGTTGGTTCACCTAAATCTGATAACCAGACAAGAAGTTATGCCCTTCCAAAGTTGAGCTAAAATAAGTGGAAAATGAAAAAATGACCATATGAACAGTAAATTTTCAAGAAAAACTGGGCTTGAATTTTAAGGCAATCAATCTGAAACTATTTTCTCTCAAAATTTTATCCAAAGAGCTTTCCATAGAACTTAGAATCACTTGATTTCATTTTTCTACAATTAGTTATGAATTTTCGAAGTTTGCCATATTTTTGGGTTACAATGAATAGTAATCCGCAAAAGAAAATTTTCAAACTTGATTTTTCATAACTTGTAGTCTTCAAAAGTGATTCCAAATGCTTCCATAAGGCAAGTTAATTGGTATAAACTTAGAGTGTTACACCCCCCTAACAATTTGTCCTCTACTCAGACCACCAGTCTCTGAAGTTCCTTAGCTCCTAACGACACTTGAATGCCAAACATGCCAAGTGGAGCGAGTTCATTCAAGAATTTACCTTTGTGGTCAAGCACCGTCTAGGGGTAGAGAACAAGTTAGCCGATGCTCTTAGCAGGAGAATCCATGTTCTCAACACCTTAACGGTTAGTGTCGTGGGATTTCACAGGCTCAAGGACGAGTACACTTCGTGTCCTGACTTTGGCATCATTTATGATGAGGTTAAAGATGCCAACCACCAAGATCATGTGAATTTCCTAATCGATGATGGCTACTTGTTCTGTGGGTCTAGGTTGTGTATTCCCCGCACGTCACTACACGATTTTCTCGTTTAGGAATTACATGCGGGAGGGCTAGCCGGACACTTTGGCATTCAGAAGACTACGGCCATAGTTGAAGACAGGTTCTACTGGCCTTCCCTTAAGTGTGATGTTGCTCGAATCCTTTCACAATGTCATACATGCTATACAACAAAGGCAAAGAAGAGGAATATTGGGTTGTACACGCCTCTTCCTGTTCCTGAGGCACCCTGGAAGGACATTAGAATGGATTTTGTGCTTGGGTTGCCAAAGACAGTGCGAGGACATGATTCTGTCTTGGTTGTAGTTGATAGGTTCTCAAAAATGGCACATTTCATCCCATGCAGTAGGACTACCGATGCCTCACATCTGGCCAAGCTTTTCTTTCGAGAGGTCATGCGTCTTCACAGTCTGCCTACCACCATCGTCTCTGATAGGGATGTCAAGTTTGTTAGCTATTTCTAGAAGACCCTCTGGAAGCTCTTCGGTACACAACTGAAGTTCTTCTCTGCTTTCCACCCTCAGACTGACGGACAGACTGAAGTGACTAACCCTAACTTTGGTGACCTGCTCCGTAGTTTAGTTGGCGATAAGCCTAGTAACTGGGATTTAGTCTTGCCTATAGCTGAATTTGCTTACAATAACTCAGTCAATAGATCCACTAGCAAAAGCCCATTCCAAGTTGTCCAAGGTCACAACCCAAAGTAGCCTATTGACCTTGTTCCCCTTCCCCTGTCTGCTCGTCCTTCTGAGTCCGCCAACACCTTTGCGCATCGTCTTCACAATATTCATGCTTAAGGTTAAGCGTAAGTTAGCTTTAAATAATGACAGGTATAAGATAGCTGCTGATGTCCATTGACGTCACCAGGAGTTCGATGTTGGTGACCTTGTCATGGCTCATATACAGCCTGAGCATTTCCCAAAGAGGCCTTACAAGAAGCTGCACACCCGCGCCTCTAGCCTGTTTTGCATTTCCAAGAAGTTAGGGCCCAATGCATACTTATTAGAGTTACCTCCAGATATGTCTATTAGTTCAATATTTAATGTTGAGGATCTTGTTCCTTATCGGGGCACTTTCAAGCCTCCCCCTTTGTGTTCTGATGACTCTGTAAGTACTCAGACTCACCAAGCCCTAACCCCACCTGTGCCTAGAGTTGCGCCTCCCGCGGAAGCCATTGACGCCGTGAGGGATGAGCAGACGGTTCTAACTCCAGCAGGTCCCGTCAGTCGTTACCTCGTTCGTTGGAAAGGCTGTCCTGATTCAGACGCTACATAGCTCACCGAGGACAAGTTCCGTCGTGTGGATACTGCCCTCCTCGACAGCTACTAGCTTTCTAACTCTCTGGTGGCGAGTTCTTCGAACCGGGGCGGGGGGAATGATGCAGATTTAATTAATTAATTTTCTTTTGTTAGTTATTTATTTTGTTAACTACCCACTAACCCATTTATTGATTTTGCATTTTAATTATTTTATTTAAAATTAGGTTATAAGTACCCTAGGTTTCTATCGTGTAAGCAAACTTGGCTTTTGACGTATCAGATAGTTTTCTTCCATTCCCGTTCTCGTCTTTGCTCTCCCTTTCTCTCTAATATTCTTCTCTGATCTCCTTCTCTTCTCCTTTCTCTTTTCTGTTTTACATCACATTAAACTTCAGATTATGTGCATGTGACTTTAAAAAAAAAATTGAACTAATCAAAATCTCTTCTCTCTTCCTTCATCTTCATCCAAACAAAAGGTAAATACCCCTAAATGACTAACACCCAATGGCTAAAAAAATTTAAAAAAAATGTTGCCACATATTGAAGTGATGCGCCTAAGGGTATTCCGAAAATTTTTTCAAAACTAAAAATGACAATGGCACTTCTAATAGTTAAAGAAAGATATTATCCTTATTTCATTAACGTTCCTTTACATCTTCATTTTGTTTCAATCAAAACATATGTAAAGTTATTGACATGAAATTTTATAGGCTTGATTTGGTGTTGTATATAATTTTTTGAGATGGAATATGAGGTGAAATAGAACTGGGGTTTGCCATCATTAAGCTCGTCATAATTAGTTCTTTTGACTTCAGGATATTCAACGATTTATCCTTATGATGTAGAGATCTGTTATTGTATCATGTGATATACACACACATATAGATTGAGCAAATCCATTCACAATTGTAGCTGATCCAGCAAAGCTTGTAACCGCGAGGCATCATCCTCATGTCTAACAGTCATCAAACTAACACTTTTTAGAAGTAATTTGTGGAGTTCAAGATAAGCACGTGAGAAATTTTGTCTCAATTTGTATAAAAATATTTTTTAATTTTAAATGCTTTGGAGGGGTACTGAACCCCCCCCCAAATAAATGTTATTCTTCTTCAAGTTTTGGAACACATGCTCCCTGCAGAAAAGCAGTATCATAGAAAACAGTCATGGGTACATCAATTAGGAAGAAATACTTGGCAAAAAATAAAAAAAAAATTGGGAAGAAATACTAATACGTCGAGCCCTGCTATTTAGGATTTATAGATTTTAAATTATATAACTTCCAATAGCTCTAATAGATATACTAAACATCAATGTCAGAAGAGACATCAAGGCAAAAATATATATACTAGCTCCTTTGTTCTTTAATATAAAAGCTAGTTGGAAGATTGAGTTTAATCAGACATCAATCCACTTTGTTTCTCAAATTTGTAACTTTTTCTCTAAAATATTCCTATTGGTTGTAAGGGATTTTCACTAAAGGAAAGTTCCGAAACATATGATTAAAAATGGTAGTTTAGGTAAGCCAATACACATTTATTATAATTAACAATTTAACTGATTTCCTCAATCTTATCATCAAATCAATTGTCTAGCTGTTATATGAAATACCAGATATAGCAGTACTTTGCTTGTACATGTATTAATTACTAGTCTACTGACAACAAACTATTTACTAATCTAATTTAAACATAAACAAATGTTCATTTAAAGTAATAACAAAAGATAAAAATAATTCTTGAACCTTGTCATTTTGGGGTAGACTGGTTGTGTTGAAGGACCACATAGGCCTAAAACTTCAAGCCATGTTTTCCAAACTTCTCTTCGATAATAGCATCAATCTGTTTGATCATGTCAATTGTCAAAAAAATTTTCCAATCTTCAACTTCTCCACGTCTAAGATAAGTCTTATTTTCTACCGCAGCAAGCAATTTTCCACTTTTATTCACCTCCAAATTTTTTAGATTCTCAAAACTACATAGCTTCAATATATCGTCCATAACATGACCATTTTCTTCTTCTTAGAGAAACCATACCCTAAGAAATTTCCCAAGTCCTTCAAAACCCTTACCGGCTCACTCTTAAGCTCCTCATACTTTAAAAACATAATCTTTTCTGGCCTCTCTAAACTCTCCTTGTAGTACCCCAACACATGATCCCAAAACGGCCCAAAGAAATTTACTCCTTGACAAAACTTCTCAAACAAGTACTCAATTGTGTTGAACTCTTGAATGTTTGGTCTTAACCTATTCGTGAAGTGCCATAACGAGACGTACACATCCTTGGGGTTTCGACACAAGACCACCATCTTGCATTTTGATTGTTTTACTGACTCTGGCAATGAAGCGAACGGCAGATGGCTAGAAAGGAGCCTTGGTGATGGGAATAAGCTGAGATCAGGGTTGTTGGTTTAAAGTAGAGGTCAAACTCTAATTTTGGGACCAAAATATGAGGGTTGGCAGTGAGGAGGGGGTGGGGTGCCACGGTTTGGGTTGGGTCTAGATTTGGGTTCAAATTATATTTCTTGCGGTTGAGGACGTTGAAAGTGAGGGCTTTGAGCTAGGTGGTGCCACGTTTTAGTGGGGTGACGATGAAAATGTCAGTGTCATGAGCTTCGAAGTGGTTCTAGCAATTGAGGATTGCTTGAATCAGCCTCTTATGGTACCAGAAACTTTGGTATTGGTAGAGTTGGATTGAGAACCAATTCGATTCTATGGGCAAGGTGGCGATGATATTGCGGCATTCTTGTGATATCTCTTCGTCGTGTTTCATGAAGAGCTCTATCGAAACAGGATTAGTTGCTTCTAACTTTTCTGATGCCATAGCTATGAAGAAATCAAATAGCCAGATGATGAAGTGAAGATAGTGAGATTGTGTCTGTTTGAGAGAAGAGGAAATTATCGAAGGGTTATATAAGCTTGCAACAAGTCTTTGGGTTCTTGGGATAGTAATAGCAAGAGAAGAGAATGCTGATTGCTCTAGCCGCACGACACCTCACCGTCACCGATTCAATATGAGAGGAAAGGAACACATGTTCAGTAACTGTAATGTGCTTGTCAGGTAAAAGGATGCGGCTTGCACGTGGGGCTTAGGGAATCTTCTCAAAATGTCTCGCCTTTCTTAGAATATACAAGATCCTCCTATCCTACTCATGTATAACATAGCTTAAGTCTTACGTGGCATCTTTGTATACACACACATTACCTCTCGTTCTTAATATAAGAGTTATTTGACTAGCTAATTTAAGTAGATTAATAAAATTAGTTATTTATGATAAATAGGTGTTGTTTTTTCTAAAATACCATTGCTAATTATGCGTATTAGCTATAACTACCATTTGATGAAATATTTAACATGTACAACTACTACGAGAACTAATTTTAAAAAATAGATAAATATAAGAGACAAAACGGATTGAAGTCTTATATTTAGAACTAAATTGACTGTTAAACTAGCTCTTAACTGAAGGTAGTATATTAGAAAAAATATATAAATTCATATTAATATTCAAATTCTAATTTAGGACCCTGAAATAACTGAAGTACACTGAAGTCTGAAGTCTCTAAGAGCTTCTCTGGAATTAATGATTTTTGCGAAATGACTTCACTATCTTCCATAGTAAGAGGTAAAAAAGAAAAAACACTCAAGGATCGATCATCCCGTACATTCTCTTTTGCTCAACTCGCTCAGCTTGGTAAAGGAAGGACCAGTAAGTTACTTGGTAGCCAAAATCTTGCTCTATTAGCTCTCATTAATTTGTGAATTTCTGCTGCTTTGATATTCAGTTTTGTGCTTGTGGTTTGCGGATAAGGGGCTTTTGGTCAGGATTTGACGTATCCCTGTGCTTTTACGTTCTTGGAAGTTTCCTCAACTAAAAGTAGTCATAGGACCAGAGGAGTATTGGTCAATTGTGATTGTTTAGGAAATTAAAATCAAGATACATTTGTTATAAATATCTAACTTAATAACTAATTTTCTTAATATCTGCAAATTAATCATTTAGTTTTTATATTATAGACTGTAATTTAGAGAATGAAAATTGTGTATTTTATTGATACTTCGATTGGGTATTTATATACACTAGAGGAGCCTAGGTATTAATGGCTCATTAATATGAAATCATATCACATCATATCCTATATACTAATTACAGGATATTTACATATCTTATAATATCTCCTATAATATCTCTACACTCCCCCTCAAGTTGGAGCATAGATGTCAATCATGCCCAACTTGTTACAAAGATATTCAACTCGAACCCCATTGAGAGCTTTGGTGAGAAGATCACCCAACTGGTCGCTGGATCTGACATGTCCTGTAGAGATGAAGTTTTCCTTGAGCTTGTCTCAGATGAAATGACAGTCAATCTCAATATGTTTCGTTCGTTCATGAAAGACCGAATTCGAAGCTATGTGTAGGGCTGCTTTATTATCACACCACAGCTTTGCTGGTAACGAGGTTTTAAGACCAACCTCTTTTAGTAGCTGGTATATCCAAACTATCTCACATACAGATTGCGCCATGGCTCTGTATTCGCTTCTGCACTCGATCGTGACACCACATTCTGTTTCTTGCTTTTCCAGGACACCAAGTTGCCTCCTACAAAAACACAGTATCCTGTAGTCGATCGTCTTGTGGCTTTCGACCCACCATGATCAGCATCACAAAAGCACTCAATGTCTGTGTGACCATGATTCTTGTACAATATCCCACGACCCGGGGATCCCTTCAAGTAGTGTAACACATGCTCTAAGGCTTCCCATTGTCGGACAGTTGGCGCAACCATAAATTGGCTAAGGACACTTACTGGATAGGTGATATCAGGACGGGTCACTGTAAGGTAATTCAACTTCCCAATCAGTCTCCTATACCTCTCTGGATTTTCAAATGGCTTGCTCTTAGCAGCCTCATCAGGATTTTCACATGGTATGCTACCATCAGCATCAAGCAGAGGATTATAGACCATAGGGAAGCTGGTCGGGGCAACCCCTAGTTTCCCAGTTTCTTTCAGCAGAT